TTTAGAGATGTTGCGCAAATGGAAGGATTATCAATTGAAAATAGTATTGTGATGAGCTGAAATGTAATTTACAATAATCAGAAAGTAACAAGTTCTATCTTCCATCAGTACTTAGCCCTCCTGTTATGTTGGTTTCCAGGAACACTTATGTTCCCCGGTCAATTTGACTCGGGCATGTTTACTCATCCAAAAGTGTCGGAAACACTGGCATTGATTATTTTACAATTTTCTTTTATAATTTAGATTTTTTTTTCGTTTTCTGTAGTGATGCAGATGACATGTGACATCTCTTCTGTTCTGGGTCAATCTGACCCGCAAAGTAACAGGGGGATTAAAAGAGGATGTTTGCCTGTTTTAATTTAACAAAACTGCCTTCCCCTCCAATTTAGCAGCAACAAAGAAAACGTCAAACTTCAAAAATGAAAGAGCTTTAAAATTTCACCGAATTCAAACACCAGTAAAGGTATTTGTTATGGTCCCAGTTTGATGGGAAGTAAAATGCTTCTCTGCAGCTCCAAGCAAACATCAAATCCATTTTATGATGAAGTTTCTCCAGTGAAAATAAAGCTGGGAAAAGGAGGCTTACTCTCCTCAGCAGCATCCCCCCGCCCCCCTCACAGCTTGCCGAATAATTCGTCTGTCTTCCTCCAGATCTAACATTAGGAGCGGCACCGGTTCGTGAATGGTTAACCCGAGTGACGGCGTTGGTTGTCATTTTGCACAGCGGACGAATGAAGCGTTTTGAAGCAACAGCTGCAGTGACTGCAGTAACACGCTCTCTTATAGCGATCACTGGTAACGGCGGGTAAGTCGTTTATTTCTGGGTCATAAATTGGTTTAATTCCGATTTGTTCCCCCCTGACTTTCTTTATCTTTGGAATAACGTCAGGAAGATGGGAAGGTATGAAACAGCGAGAAATTAAAGGATGAGACTAGAAGTTTAGGAAATGTTTACATCTCGGTTATTTTATTTTATTTCTTTTTTTTTTTTGCATTTTCTTTACCTCTTTTTGAATTATTTTTTATGTTCTTCTATATCCTCTGCATTCTTTGTGTGTATTCTTTCCATTTTTTTATTGATAGTTTGCGCACAGCAGGCCATTCGGCAATATAATTAAAGCTGGACATACATTCTTCGGTAGAAAATGCCACATATGCATAAGGCACAACACCTTTTGCATTTATTATCAGGTTGAATGAAGATTTTTTTTT